GAAAGTTACTCTGGGTAAGCATCAGTAAAGCTGAAATAAAAGAATATATGAAAGCCAGCCAGATGAAGAAACTAGGCTTATTTTTAAAAAATAAATAAAAAGAAATAAAAAAGATTATTTATTTGTTTACTTTTGTCTGTGCTGGGTCTTCCTTGAATTTGTGTGGGCTTTCTCTAGTTGCGGCCCGTGGGGGCTACTCTCTAGTTGCAGATCTTGGGCTCAGTAGTTGCTGTTGAAGGGGCCTGGAGTGTACAAGCTTCAGTGACTGTGCACACAGGCTTAGTTGCTACATGGGATGTGGAATCTTCATGCACCAGGGTTTGAACCCATCTCTCCTACATTGGCAGGCAAATTCCTTACCCACTGCACCACCCAGGAAGTTCCTAGGCTGTATGTTTATCATTTAGGGTAGGCTAAGTGATGTTCTAAAAACAGTTCCAAATTCTTAGTGGCTTAAAACAATGAAGGTTTATTTCTCTCTCATGTTCCATGTCCATAACTGAGTGGCTAGGGACTCTACTTCATGGCATCCTCAGACCAGGACTCAAACTTACAAGGCAGACACTATTTGGGACATTGCCATTCTTCATGCAAAGAAGAAGGATTGTGGTAACCTGGTGATTTGCTCTTAAAGCTTTTACCTGGAGCCACATATCACAGTTCATGCACCAGTAGGAGTCACTTGACCTCATCTAATGTCAAGAGGGCAGTATCTACAGTTCCAGCTCGTTCCACCTACCCAGCCTCCCTTGCAGCTAATGGTGATGTTGTGACACTGTCTGATCAAGTGAACCTATTGGAGGACTTCTGCATCAACTTTTGCTTTTCTGTATAGATACAGGTATAACTGACATGCCCTCCCTATTCTTCCTGCCTTAAACTCTACTGATGCACTATTGAAGCTGCCTAACCATTTGGCATAAGAATGATGAGCCATACTTTGAAGATAGGGGATCATCAGAATGAAATGATTCTTTAATGACCTGACTTTTCAATTGAACTAAGTGCCCAATTAAGCAAGTGCCTAATTCTGGATTTCTTGTATGTGGGGAGGAAAGTGAAAGTGTTAATCACTCAGTTGCATCCTACTCTTTGAGACCCTATGGACTAGGGTCCCTAGCCTGCCAGGCTCCTCTGTCCATGGAATTCTCCAGGCAAGAATACTGGAGTAGGTAGCCATTCCTTTCTCCAGGGGATCTTCCTGACCCAGTGATCAAACCCAGGCCTTCTGCATTGCAGGCAGATTCTTTATGGTTCTGAGCCACAAGGGAAACCCTTGTGGGAGAAAAATTACACCAAATATTTAAGCCTGTTACTTGGAACTAGAAGCAATTCTAGCTTATGTGGATAAGAAAGATGAACAGATTCTGTGCTTACAGCCCAGAAACCCATCTTACTCAGATACTTTCCTGAGACTGGGCCAGCAGTGCAGGAACCAAATGAGATCGACCTTGCTTTGTGAGTGGTGGCCAGTGAAGCAGAGGAAAGAGAAATCTTCCATCCTATTCCCTTCTTCTAGCTCCCTGTACTTCCCTTTCTCCTTCATACAATGTCTCCAGTTGCACAGTTTCTTTTTCTGACTACAACTACCGTCCCTTTACCCTTTACTCTCTCATTACCCTTTCTCCTCTTCTTGAGAAATGCTTGTGTCCACTTAAGGTGAAATTATCCTAGGTATGATTGAATTTCCGTGGTGGCTTAGCGGTAAAGAATTCACCTGCCAGTGCAGGAGACATGGGTTTGATCCCTGGGTTGGGAAGATCCCCTGGAGAAAGAAATGGCAACCCACTAATGATTGAATTAGGTCAGTTTCTCAAAGATTTAAAACATCTGTAAGCAGCTTGTGAGTGAAAAATGTTGCCTGCCATATCAACAAACAAAGGGATGTTGTAACCATCAAGTCACTGCAGCCACCCTAAGGTGCACCCTGAGGGGACTCAGGATGGGAAAGAACAGGATACTGGCCATAAATAACTGAGCTGCAAATCAAAGGAATGATTTCCATGAGCCCAGACTCTTGCCTCTCCCACACACAGAAAAGGGCTAAATTCATTATCTATGAGCTTCTGGTTGGTTTTCCTTACTTGTTGGTAATTTTTGATGTTCCTACTCCTTGTTGCAAAACTCCTATGTATCCTGGCTCCTCTCTTTCTTCTGAGCAGTCCCTCAGAGCTATACCTGAGGGGCAGTCTCCCAGGCTTCAGTCCTCAGCAAGTCTGCCAAATAAAACAATTCTCAATTTTTAGGTTATCCATTTTTTTCAGTCAACACACTTAATATTTTGTGCTGTGTATGGAATTCTTCCCAGCTTTCCCCACAGTCTCAGAGGTTGCTCTCAGAATATGTGGGACAGTTAATGCTGGTTGTCTTAGGAATTCCCAACTGGTATGTTTGGACCTTGAAATTCTTGCTTCTCTGTGTCCTTTCTGTGGTGGCCCAAGTCTTTTCAGACTTTGGAACTGGGAGCTAAGTGAATGCTGATTGGTAAATAAAGTCCTGTGAATAGAACATATAGAAAAATGCAATCTAAATATTTGACTTTATGGCCATAATTTCTCCAAATGGTCTCAAGTTCTAGTTTAAGGAGCAATCAAGTAGTTAAAGTTCAGGCACCTGATCTTAAAATTTATTTTTTTTGTCTCTGGAGTATCCTAGAATACCCCATGTTCTCAATTTCTTATTCTTTGGCCCACTATCCTACTGGGATAGGACTGCGGTCTAGGATTATTCTTTGTTCCACTCATTTTGGTCATTTTTTCTTTATGATTGTTGCATGAATTGTTACAGATTATGATTAGGCAGTGTTTTATTTCTCCTGTGCCCTGAGGTGTTTAAAGATGTGTGTGTGTGTGTGTGTGCACGCGCGCGTGTGCGCATGCATGCACATGTGTGCCCTCAGTCATATCTGACTCTTTGAAGTCCCTTGGACTGCCAGGCTCCTCTGTCCATGGGACTTTCCAGGCAAGAATACAGGAGTGGGTTGCCATTTCCTGTTCTAGCATATCTTCCCGACCCAGGGTTCAAACCTGCGTCTTCTTGAGTGAGTTTCCTGCATTGTCAGGCAGGTTCTTTACCACTGCACCACCTGGAAAGGTCTGTTGTTATTCTCCAAATAATTAAATTGGAGTTTTCAAATGAGAATTCATCTCATTTTAAAAGTTGTAGCTTTTACAGGTTTTCAAAAGTAAATTGTATGGAGCTTTTCTTACACTCAGTTTCAGGAGCCAGTTGTTCATGAAAAAAAGACAAGGATGCTTTGTAAGTTCTAAATCAGGGAGTAGAAAACATGTGTTGTGTTTTCTTGTCATTTGTGCTCAATTGGACAAGAAAGGGAGAACTTTGTTTTCTTTTCAATTATGGATTATTACAGGATATTGAATATAGTTCCCTGTGCTATATAGTAGGACCTTGTTGTTTGTTTTATATATAATAGTTTCTGTCTGCTAACACCAAACTCCTAATTTATCCCTCCCCCATGCCCTTTTCCTTTTGGTAGCCATCTGTTTGTTTTCTGTGCCTGTGAGTTTGTTTCTGTTTCATAAGTAAATTCATTTGCATCATATTTTAGATTCCACCTTTAAGTGGTGTTTGTCTTTTCCTTTCCGACTTACTTCACTCAGTATAATCTCTAGGTCTATCCATGTTGCTACAAATGGCATTATTCTTTTTAATGGCTGAGTAGTATTCCTTTTGAATAGCTATTTTCTAAAGCGTATATAAATAGATCACGTCATATAGTAAAAGAAAGGACATAGAAATAGCATTTATTTAGTACTTGTGTAGCAGGAAACAAGCTGGTATCTTCCTATATATTTTCTTGAAGTGAAGTGAAGTGAAGTCGCTCAGTCGTGTCTGACTCTTTGTGACCCCACGGACTGTAGCCCACCAGGCTCCTCCGTCCATGGGATTCTCCAGGCAAGAATACTGGAGTGGGTTGCCATTTCCTTCTCCACTTAGTCTTAAAAATGGTCACATTGGAATATTATTACTCCTGTTTTTGAAATGAAGAGACTGAAGTTGAGGGGGTAAATCATTGTTTACATTTGAACAGGTAATTCATGATGGACCCAGGATTCAAACAAATGTATATCTAACAGCAAAGCCCATGAATCAGTGGCAACTGTTTGATCTTCAATGATGGGCAATGTCTTTGTAGCAAAGTTCACATTGGCTTGTTTAAGGCAGTGATCCCAAACCTTTTTGGCATCAGGGACTAGTTTCGTGGAAGAAAATTTTTACATGAACCTGGTGTGGGGGTGGTTTTGGGATGATTCAAGCATATTACATTTATTGTGCACTTAAAGTGAAAGTGTTAGTCGCTCAGTCGTTTCTGACTCTGTGCGACCCCATGGACTATAGCCTGCTAGTCTCCTCTGTCCATGGAATTCTTCAGGCAAGAATACTGGAGTGGGTTGCTCTACCCTTCTCCAGGGGATCTTCCCAACCCAGGGATGGAACCCAAGTCTCCTGCATTGCAGGCGGATTCTTTACCATCTGAGCCCCCAGGAAAGCCCATTGTGCAATTAACTCAATTATTATTATATCAGCTCTATCTCAGATAATCAGGCATTAGATCCTGGAGGTTGGGGACCCCTGACTTAAAGAAATCACCCATGTTGCCAAGTTTGATTTCACACTCTTGCCTCATATCTAGGCAAGGAGACAATATGGCATTATGCATGCCTGTAGGCTGGGGTTGTGCTCCCTTGTTATGATATCAAAGACACCCTGGAGAAGTTAGAGTAGAATGTAAATAAATACTAATAGCAAATAGAAGTGCCTGGATAAGATTTCAAAATCCAAGAGTAAGACACAAACATTATATTTTTCCACTAATGAGATCAAAGGATTATTGATTCTGGAGGAAGAAATTATGGATTTTTGAGTCACTTGAATGTAACTCCTTGACCCTTTCAAATAGTCTCCCCAGTGAGTACATCCCTTAGATAAAGATAGCTCTGCTCCTCTTTTGTAAGTGATTTTTTCCCCTCTCCTTCCAGGAAGCTGAAGAATGAACTCTTGGAAGCAAAACGCAGAAGTGGGAAGACTCAACAAGAGACCAGCAGGGTCTGTGCCCACTGTCAGAGAAACCTGGGTTTGATATTCGACCGGGGAGACCCGTGCCAGGCCTGCTCCCTCAGAGTGTGCAGCCAGTGCCGGGTCTCAGGCCCTGATGGCAGCTGGCGCTGCACCATCTGTGCAAGAGTCGCGTGAGTTTCTTGGCTTTGTGTGCAAAGTCAGCTTCGATGACTGAAGAGTTGGGGAGGGGGGGAAGCAAGGAGGAAGAATATGTAAAAGGTAGCGATAGAGAATAGAATTGAAAGTATAGCCCCACTAGAAGTTCAGTAGTGCTTTGGAAGGGTGTGATGTGTATTTGTGTGTGTCTGAGACACAGAAACATTATACAGTTGGAAGCCTCACAGGGCGTGGTCTCTTCCCTCAGGCTTTCTTAGAGCCGCACTTGCCTCCACCCAGCTTCTTAGGGTGTGTGTGCTCAGTTGGGTCCGACTCTTTAGGGCCTCATGGAATTTTCCAGGCAAGAATACTGGAGTGGGTTGCCGTGCCCTCCTCCAGGGGATCTTTACAACCCAGGGATTGAACCTGCATCTCCCGCATTGGCAGGCGGGTTCTTTACTAGTGCAGCCTGAGAAGTCCAAAACTGGGTTTAGTAATCTGCAAATCAAGGTGCAAAAATAATTCTGGATATCTTCCTGTCTTCCTCATGAAATCAAATTGTTTACTTGGGGTATTTCTCCATATATGTGTACAGAAAAAGTATCAGCAATGCACTTTGCTTTCTACTTAAAAGGAATATGATACATCTGTGACTCAAGTACATAATGTAAAAGTCACTCTTTTAGACCCTGAACTCTTCTTAGAAAGTTTTTCTCAGTGTGAAATTCAAATGGGTCTTTCCAACTCTGCTCCCCTTTACTTCACATTTCAGAGTTGGATATAAAGGCTCTTCCAGTGTTGTCAAATTGGAGGAGGAAATGGCAACCCACTCCAGTATTCTTGCCTGGAGAATCCCATTGACAGAGGAGCCTGGTGGGCTATAGCCCATGGGATCGCAAAGAGTTAAACACGACTGAGCGACTATTACTTACAGTATAGTCAAATAATGACTTACAGAGGAAATAATGGACAGAATTTCCTCAATTATAGTTTTGCCTCTATACAATTTTGCAGGACCATTTATCCCTCTCTACTCTTAGTGACCACTAGAGGACAACAAATCAGAACAGGAAAACTTGGAAAGAGACTAGCACCCTTTTTTTTTTTTTTAATGAAAACATAATGCACATGGCTTTTGTTTTTAACTAGAGTTAACTTACACAAAAGGACACAAATGACAAGTGTACAACAGGGTTTCTCAATTTCAGCATCACTGAAATTTTTGGCAATATGGTTCTTTGTGGGGGAGGGAGGGCCTGTCCTGTCTACTATGAGATGTTTAGCAGTGTTCATGGCTTCTACGCAGTAGACACCAATAACAATCCTCCCCTTTGCAGTGGTAGCAATGACAGATTCCTGCCAACATTGCCACATGTCCCGTAAAGAGGAAATGTCTTTGAGAAGCACTGATGTACAGCTTTGCAAATTATCACAGTTTCTGTGTAACTACCATTCAGGCAACGAAGTAGAAATGCTACTGACACCCCAGAAGCTTTTCTTCTTCCTCCTCCCAATCACTAGCCCCTTCTTATTCTCCAGATATAAATATTATCCTGCTAAGACCATAGGTTAACTTTGAATTTTTTATACTTTAAATTGATTTTATGCTTTAAATTGATTTTAATTGTTTAAATTGTTGATTTTATACTTAAAATATTAAAAAATTTAAATTTTTTATACTTTAAATTGACTCATACAGTGTGTGTGTATTTGTTCATAACTAATTTTGGTCAACATTATGTTTGTGAGACATCCATTTTTGTTGCATTTGGCAGTTGTTTACTCATTTTCACTTTTATACTCATTTCACTCATTTTCACTATAGTGTTTGTTAACACTCTATTTATAACTATATAAGGATTCATATACCATTCTATCATTGATGTATATTTGGGGTGTTTCTAGCTTTCACCTCTTAAAAATAGTGTTGTTATAAATATTCTTGTGCATTTCTCTTGGTACATATGTGTATGTATTTCCATTGAATATGTACATAGTAAAGTTGCTGGGTCAAAGAATATATGCATGTGTTTCATTTCAGTTGTTGTTTAGTAGCTAAGTTATGTCTGACTCTTTGCGACCCTATGGACTGTAGCCCACCAGGCTCCTCTGTCCGTGGGATTTCCCAAGCAAGAATACTGGAGTGGGTTGTCAGTTCCTCATCCAGGGGATTTTCCCAGATCAGGGATCAAACCCATGTCTCCTACCTTAGCAGGTGGATTCTTTACCACTGTGCCACCTGGGAAGCCCCACGATACTGATTTGTTTTCCAAAGTGATTGTGCCAAGTTATCCTTTCACTAGCAATGCATGAGTGTTGGTTACTTTATATTTTTACAACAGTGTTTTTTGTTTTTCCATTTTTATAATTTTGTTGGGTATGTAGTGGATTAATTGCATTTTTCTTTATTACCAATGAGAACGAGGATATCTTCATATGTTGATTGACCATTTGAACATCCTTTTCCGTGAAGTGCTGGTTCAGGTCTCTTGCCTTTTTTTCTGTTAGGTTATCAGCCTTTTACTGACTAGTGTGAAGGAGTTCTTCATATATTCTGTGTACAAACCACGTTAGTTCCTTGTGTTTCAGATATTTTTTCCCAACTTCTGATGTTCCTTTTCATTCTCTCAGTGGTGTACTGAAGAACAGAAATCTCTAATTTTTAGTAACTCATTTTGTTCATCTTTTCCTGTATGAGATTAGTGGGTTTTTTCTTTCTGTATCCTAACGGGGAAAAAAAAGCTTTTTGTAAAAGTTGATAAAAATATTCTTCCGTGTGATCTCCTGTGTTATTGTATTACCTTTTTAAACTTACAATTGACTTGGAACTGATTTTTGCATGTGCTGTGAGTTACAAATTCCTTTTATATTTTAATATGAATATCCATTTGATCCAGCAACATTCATTGAAAGGACCATTTTTTCACTTCTCTACAGTGTCACCTTCGCAAGTTTCATTTCTGACTACTCTGTTACATGTGTAATGTACCAATGCCACGTTATTTTAATTCAATGTAGCTTTATAAAATTTTATATCCAGTGGGCTTGCCACTTTGCTGTTTTTGTTCAAAATGCCCTGGCTATTATTGGCCCCTGGTATTTTCAAATACATTTAGAATCAGCCAGCGTTCCATAAAACAGGTCCTACTAGTGTTTTTATAGGGACTACATTACATCTACAGAAAGTTATGGAGAGAATTGATGTCTTTCAATATTTAGTCTATTGATCCACAAACACTATGTGCCCTTTCATTAATTTACCTTTGATTTATTTTAGTAATATTTCATGTAATAATTTTCCTGATACATCTTACATATCATTGGATCTAATCCAAGTATTTGATTTTTGTGTTATTATAAATAGTACCCTTAAAATTTTTTTTATTTTCTAATTGTTATTGTTATGGAGGCATGCAGTTGATTTGGGTAGTCCAACTTTGTATTTGGAAATCTTGTTAAACTCACTTACTAATTAAAATAATTCCTGTGGCACCATTCCAATTTTATTTTTGCACAAGTGTGTCTTCTTTTCTAACACTTCATATCTTTTTTTTTCTTTCTGTTTTGTGTATTTGTTTTCAATGTTATTTATTTCTTGTTCTTTCACTTTCTTAGAATTTTTCATTAGTAGTGTTTTGATTCATATGTTTAGATACTTGATTTTTTCCATCCTTTGTTCTTTTCTAACATATACATTTAAGGATATGAATTTCCCTGTTTGCACTGGTTTAGCTGCATCTCACACATTTTCTTTTTTTTTTTTTTCTTTTATGTGTCATGGTCATATTTCTTTTTTTTTTTTTCCATTTACATCTGCTGATGGGCATCTGGGTTGCTTCCATGTCCTGGCTATTATAAACAGTGCTGCGATGCTCACACATTTTCATATCCATTATTTTTTATGATACTGGTTTCATTCTGTTTTCTAATTTCTATCACCTTTTCTTCCAGCTCTGAGTTATTTACAATTGTCTTTTGATTTCTAGCTTCATGGGGATTTTTGATATCTTTTTGATATTGAAATTAGCTTTATTTCACTTTGGTCAGAAAACATACTCTATATGATTTCATTCTTTGAAATTCAGCCCAGAAAATCTTCAATTTTATTAAATGTTCCAATTTCCTTGAAAAAATGAATTCTACAGTATTGATTTGAATATCTTAGTTTTGTCTTTTAATGATATTTGTTAATTGTGTTGTCCAAACCTTCCATATCACTACTGATTTTTTAATCTATATATTCTATGTGATATTGAGGGAAATATATACTAATCTCTCTCAATAATGATTGTGGATTTTCTATTTTCCTTTTTAACTTGATAATATTTGCTTTGTGTATGTTGAATTTAGAGTCTTGATTGCTTAAGTATTTAGAATTGTGAGGTTTTATAGTTGTACAGAAACCTTTATAATTGTGAAAACTCTCTCCTTACCTCTAGTTATGATTTTTTCCTTTTAAAGTTTACTTTATAATTAGTATGTCCTCGGTTGCTTTCTTTTGGTTGGCATATGCCTAGGGAATCCTCTTTATCCTTTACTTGCAACTTTTTTCTTTCCATATATTTACCGTATGTCTCTTATAAGTGGAATATTATCATGTGTGCGTGTTTTAAATCTAGGCTGACAGTTGTCATTTAATTAGGATATTTGTCCCATTTGTAGTAATAACATAACCCATATATTTTATTTAAAATTTACCACCCTTTTACTTATTCTTTTTTTGGTCCCATCTATTCTGTTCTTTTTGGAGAAGGCAATGTTACCCCACTCCAGTACTCTTGCCTGGAAAATCCCATGGACGGAGGAGCCTGGTAGGCTGCAGTCCCTGGGGTCGCTGAGAGTAGGACATGACTGAGCGACTTCACTTTCACTTTTCACTTTCATGCATTGGAGAAGGAAATGGCAACCCACTCCAGTGTTCTTGCCTGGAGAATCCCAGGGACGGGGGAGCCTGGTGGGCTGCCGTCTATGGGGTCGCACAGAGTCGGACACAACTGAAGCGACTTAGCAGCAGCAGCAGCAGAAGCATTCTGTT